CGAAGGTAGTAAGTAGATATATATATATATATATATATATATATATGGCAAGTGTCAGAATCTTAAGGGAAAAAGACTAAAATGTTGTTTTGGAATAACACGGATTACTCCATGAAACCTTTAATCGTTTCCAACTGTTTTCCGAGTCCTGTAGCACCATGATGCTATCCGTTCATCAGTTATAAAACGATAATAGTTGACGATCGACTTATAAAGTGCTGAAAGAGAGAAAATACCTTAAAATATAGAGAAAAACGATAGAAAAAGCTAAGTGAGGGGAGGAATAAAAAATAAGGTTAATGCTTTCGTATTTACTTGCTAATCTACATCAGGGAAATCGTCCCACCTGGGCACAAGTAAGAAAAACTTCAACCGTTTCAATTTACTCCCCCCTTTACTATCAGTTCATAACGTCGTAGTAAATTCAAATGAAAATGATCAAACTCCCTCTAGTACTAATCAAGATAAGATGTGATAAGGTGGTGTATGAAAGAGACACACAGGCCTCTTATGTCATTCATAATGCGAATCAATCAACAAAAATGGTCAAAAATAACAACCGAACGCACAAGAATGTCGCAAAACCTGCGTGTAGGAATGTGCGTCTGTAGATAGAGAGAAACTAAGGGCAATAATTTAGGCCATCACAATAATTCACGCACATACTTGAAATACATTTTCGAATGGGATGACATTTTGAAGACAAAAACATTTATATTCTATCCGCCCCTTCAACAACACCTTATTTCTTTAATAATTTATTCACTAAGCAAACCATAACCCACGAAAAACAACCGGAGTTGATATAATGTCCGCCATATTATTGTTGGTTATCTCATCCCTCCCCTTAGCATAGGGACACACACTAGAAGATACGTTTTTCATTCATTTTCACGTTTCTTTATTTGTTACATATGTATCAGGTAGCGCAACAGCTGAAGAGAAGTCAATAGGGAGCCTGAATTTTGAGAGGGAAAGGTAAGCCTAAGTGAAGTAAATTCAAAATTCAATCCAACAAAATACTATAGCTCCTTAGCACCCAACACTGTGTTTTCCCTTTGCTCAAATCAAGATCTAGAAAGTATAAGTTAAATTTTTGGCACATTCCAATAATATTAAACTCTACAAACGCCTCACATTTTCTTATGAGAGTTGTGCATCAACTCACTCACTTTATCGTTGAGACGAGGTGGTGCATCCCACGGTACATAATCCGGCTCATCAGAACCCAACTCATCAGGCTCAGAGCGAATATCCGTGAGTTCCTCATCTTTCAGGAATGCGATGATCATCTTGATAATTAGACTAGTCCAATACAGGTGGAGAATCTGAAGACACACATTCAGAAGTATTATCAGGAGCCAGAGGTTAAAATTCCCGTAGCGCAAATTTGGTGTCATACCGAATGAGGACCTGCCCAACATGGGGAGGCAATATAAGCGGAAATACACAAATCCCGTGACGAACACAAAAAAGCAACACTTCTCGAATTTATCCCCAAGGATCCTGAACATTTTCGGAGAGCGGTATGCCTGGCGCTTCCTTGCAGCCCGACTTACCCTTCGCTGCTCCTCTTCAATAATGTAGTGGAAAACTTTGGACACACAGAGCATAATATCAGAGATATCGTGAATAAAGATGACGTAGGCTCCATATCTGTGTTCCCAGCCTATAAATGAACCCCCAATCAGTGTCATGGTGAAGATATGATGGATGAAATACTCTAGAAAGTCAGATCGTCGGATATGCCTCTCAAAAAAAATTATGGACAAAAGCTCAGAGGCATAAAAGGCCAAACTATAATAGTAATAAATCACGATTTCCCGTGGAGGGTTGTAAGGGTGCGGAATCAAGAAGTGTACTCCACTTTCTGCGTTTATCGGGAAGGTAAACCACGGTTTATCACGCTGCACTAAATACCCAAAAATTGAAGAAACAATGTAGCAGGTACTCAGCCAAACCTGATTTTGGAACTTATAGAGCCGTTTCTGGTTCCTGGCCGACAGCGCGGCGGTACCGCGCTTGCCTTCTGCTAGACGACGCCTGTAGCGCTCCTTGTTCTCCGTGACGACGCCCATATACATGCCGAAGCGCGCAATAGGCTCCCGACAGAGATAGCGCATCACGAGAAGTGCAATGAGCCATAGCAGCGCTGGTAGCAACAACGAGTCTAAGAGAGGTAAGTCATACCCCCAGCCACCAGATTCTAAGCCGCGGGAGTTCTGGTACTTCTTTATGTCAAAAAGCACCTCGGGAATGTTAGAAAAAGAAATTGTGGTCTTAGTGCGGTTTACGATACGGTTAGAGGCATTGAATGGATCCTGGATCATTACATCCTCGATAGATTGGTAGGGGCTACCAATACCGTAAGACCTCGCGCGTTGAACATCCAAGGGAAGCATTGCACGTTAAACTTGTAGGAAAGACAGTAACTGAGCTAGAAATTAACTAAGGTAGATACACTTATTTATATGTCCACAAAAAGAAAGTTTCCTTTGGGGCAAAAAAAGAATTTTTCTTGAAATATTACGCTAAGAAAGAGAGAAGGGAAAATATTCTCTTACTCGTCATCAATAGGATCTGTGGAGTATAGCACAGTCCCTTCGAATTCAGAAACACATATATTAGAATAGTAATACTTGATTCCTCCAAAGGAATAAAAGCAGTGTAAACCTAAGCATTCTACCCCAAACTCCTGCTCCCTCAGACAAATGGCTCAAGGCATAAATTTCGACGAAAAGGACTTGGAAAAGGTTCTGATATAAAAAAAACCTACCCCCTAGATTACTCCTTCACTCCAATGTATTTAGCCCATCTAAAACCCCCGTTTTAAGCGCATCGCATATCAACCCACCAACACGATTATCACCACATTGGCTGAGGATCTCACACATACAGGTGGTTGGAACGCTCAAACTGGTACTGGATTTCATCCACAAAACTCCTCATCCCAAGAAAGATGATACTTCCAGCACGTAGAACCCGCTTCTCGAGAATGTCCGACATCGTGGTTTAGACGCCCCTCCCCGCCTTCTAGGCACACCCCCAACCGCGCGGTGCGCGCACACCTTTCCGTCCTACGGTATGGCCCTCACTGGAGCCGCCGCTGCCTTCAGCACGGCCATAAGTGGGGCGGACCCCTTCCTCCTCCCTCCCGTGTCATAATAGGCACACACGCACCACACCAATATTCCATAGTGCAATCCTAAGAGCGCTCCGGAGGGCTCACCCTGAACCTCTAAAAAAGGTCTTAAGAAGCCTCCAGAGGGAATGGGCGTGCGATGGGGACATGAGGCCCGCGAAATGGGCCGCCGCACCGCTGGAGGGTCCCTTGAAATTAATCCACCAGGAAGAAAACACATACACCAGAAGTGGAAGCCCTGGATATTGAGAATTAGAAAGACAGAAAATACTTGAACAGAGTTAACAGCGGTCAGTGCTGCTACTTGCAGGGTTGAGCAACACATAAAGCATTCCTTTCAGGCAGGGAGTTGGGGGGGAAGGGGCTACATGTACTGACACAAAAAAGGGTACTCACCAAAGTGCACTGCAACAAACGAAGTCAAGAAAGGCCTGGAAAGATGCACTTACAAGAAAGAGAAACAGGTACAAGGAAAAGAAGTGACATCACATTTATGACCACATTAATGTTCAGTAGAAAGTGTATTTGGGCATGTGCCGTGAATACCTTGTTTTTTTAGGATGCGTAATATTTTGTAGGCCCTCCTCCCGATACACAAGAGGTAACTTCAGTATTCATTAACTAAGGCTACAGCAGGAATAAGTGACGCGCACGCAGCGGAAATTTAGAGACAGCGAAGCAAAATATAAGGAGCCAATACAATTACCAAGCAACAAATAACTAGAAACACATAACTTTATAACAACATTATGCATATTTTCTAATCGCTTAAAGCGCAAAGCAAAGGAATAAATGATCAGTGAAATCAAGATCAAATCATAAAGTATCAAAATTTAAAAATAAATACAAGAGCGAATAAACTTGAAAATCAAATATGAATCAGATAAAGTAAGCATAAATAAATTAAAAAAACTAAATTAATACCTTCTATTAGTAGAATGGAAATTAAAGAACGCAGGGAGAGAAGAACAGAATTGTGCGGTGCTCTGGGGGAAGACACATGGTGCCCAAAATCATACAGCGCGGCCGTAAATTTGTATACTTTTAGTAGTTCATTTAATTTCGTCCCAACACACTTAATTACGTTTATCAAAGTAAAAGATTTACACGATCGGTTATTCATGCTAACAGGGCATACGAAATAAAATGCGTATCCCCTCTTTGTTTGTTACAACAGTGAATACCTAACGCGTGGCATACATATTTGTATTCATGGCACGTTGTTTAAATCCAACGCTAGG